AGTATCTCGGCTCCCACCTGTCCAACACCGCGAACATCGATAAAGAGATTCAGCATCGGATCAGATGCGCATCTCAAGCCTTTGTTCAGACTCCGAAACCGTGTCTTCAGCTGTAAGTAATTTAAATTATCTACAAAGTTACATGTATATCGAACAGTGGTCCTCCCCACCCTGCTATATGGCAGTGAGACATGGGTCACATACAGGAGGCACCTCAAGGCACTTGAAAACTTTCACCAGCGTAGTCTACGTTCCCTCCTCCGAGTTCGTTGGGAAGACAAGAGAACAAATGCCAATTTTGCTGACACCAACTGTAGGAGCATTGAGGCTGTCATTATCTATGAACAACTGCGCTTGACTGGCTACGTTACCCGCATGGACTACAATTTCCTGCCAAAGCCGCTACTTTACAGCCATCTACCTAATAGTAAACATGACGCTAGCGAGCAACTGAAAAGGTATAAGGGAGTCCTAAGACAAACCTGATAGTCCCAAATTGACCCCTTCACCTGAGAGACGATTACCCCCAAATTGACCCCTTCACCTGAGAGACGATTACCCCACATCGTAACGCTTGGTGGAGCAAGCACCACACAAGAAGGTGTCAATACTTTCGAGTTAGCCCAACTGCAAACCGAGGCAAACAAGTGCCAACACCGTAAAAACGCTGCGGTCGCCCCTCTCGCACTAGATGTAGCCCCCCACATGTGCTAAATCTGTTAACAACTACCGGTTCCGTATCGGCCTCTTTAGTCACCTCAAACTCACCAATGAAGGTGACATCCCTAATAACTCATTGTATCATAGCTAGATGATCGTCATACTCGATTCAGAGTGACAGCAAAGTAGTAAGTAGTAGTAGTAATAGTAGTAGTCGTAGTAGTGTGTGTGTGTGTGTGCATTTTTAAGTATGTGTATGTTTGTGGTATAGTGATCATTATTTGCCACTTAAGTCTAAAACTAATTCTGAGTGAGATAAAATTTCATTGGGACTTAACTTCAAATTTATTATCGATTCGTTTTGTTAAGTCTCTTAAAGAGACATGCCGATTCTTAGGCAATTCCCCAAATATTCAGATTTAGGAATAAGTAAAACCAACTTTATTCAGCCTAAATATGACTTTCCACCGTAGTTTAATTACATACATGACATTAGTTTACTAATTACACATATAACTCGGTGGTTTAAGTGTATACATATGTATAAATTGAATATTATGGTGAAAAAAAGAAAAATGATACATGTTGTTTTAGAGGATAATGTTGAATGCTTAGGAGCCTCTTGACCTTAGAGAAGAGCATGATGATCCTTCACTACAGACTAGGAATGTTACTATGAATATTTCATCGTTTTCTCTCCTCCATCTCTCATTTTCGTTATCATTTTTCATATATCACAATAGAAAACCAACAAAACGTTCTCTTGCGGTTAATACAGTTACCAGCGAGATATTGTGGGCGAGAGGTCTGATGTTGAGGCAGGTACCGTCCTCACTATGTAAGCTGGCAGTACTTTTCTAAAGAGAGGATAATCAAAACAAATTTTCAAAAAGCGTTCATATAATTGTATTTACAGAAGTCCTTCTTAGTCAGTTTTTTCTCCCCCAATATAAGATTCTTAACTTCGGTTAACAAGCAATCCCTCGATTAACGAGTTTCTTACGAGCCGACCTGAACATGTTTTTGCTCTCACTTGGCGGTGAACCAGCTATAGTATTAGTCAGCCAATACAGTAATCCGTTCTAGGGCTATAAATTCCTTACTATTTTAGTAAATATCAAGAAGTTTATACTATTCAATAATTTTAAAAGTTTAATATTAAATTTTTTGGTAATTTTAACAATTATTGAACATATATGAAGGTAAAGAAACTAGTTTCTGGCGCGCCATCCAGCCTGTTAACACACCAAACAAGCGTTAGTCTCTCTGTGTTTTCAGTGGTGGTAACATCATACTTGAGACTCTCTTCAACTAAGCACTTTTTTTCTGTGTTTCCAAGCAAATTATTGGTCATTTTGAAATTTATTTTACATATTGACAATATATAGAGCAATGCAGTGTTATTTTAAAGAAAATATTCTTTATTTACAGCTAGTTTAAACTTTAAAAATCACATGTTGACATTGTTTGAATCCAGCATGGGGCCTAAGAGATCAGATCAAGAAAAGCGATTACAATCCAAACCAAGCAGGAAATTATTAAGAAACATGAAGAAGGCATTAGAACAAATGCACTATGCAAAGAATATAGCATGTCGACATCAACTGTGTCGACAATTCTTGCACAAAAGACAAATTTAAAGAAGTGAAAGTGAGAGACAAATCTACCAGAGTGTTTAAAGGTAGAGCCCTAATTGCAGAAACAGAGAGGTTACTTCTCATCTGGATTAGGGAAAAACAGATGAAAGGTGATTCAGTTTCTACTGAATTCATTAGTGAAAGAGCCAGGTAGATTTACGAACATTTAAAGACAGATCAACCTGGTTCTTCAGGCACAGAATTTGAAGATTTTCGGGCCAGCAAAGGTTGGTTCGAAAAATTTAAGAAAGGAAGTGACATTTTCAGTGTTGTTAGGCATGGTGAAGCTGCTAGTGCTGAAAAGGAAGGGGCAGCAAAGTTTTTAGTGGAATTTAAAGAACTGGTGGAAGGAGAAAATTATCTTCCACAGCAAGTGTTCAATGTGGACGAAACTAGGCTGTTCTGGAAAAAGATGCCCAACATAACATTCATCACCAGAGATGAAGCCTCTTTGCCTGGGCATAAACCCACGAAAGACCGTCTCGCTCTATTGCTTGGTGCCAATGCTTCAGGGGATTTCCGACTGAAGCCTATGCTTGTCTACCACTCTGAAAACCCCAGGGTGTTCAAGCAACAGAAAGTGGTAAGAGCAAAGCTTGGAGTTTATTGGAAGTCCAACCGTAAGGCATGGGTGACAAGACAGCTCTTTAATGAATGGGCTGTTGAGGTGTTTTGCCCTTCTGTCAAGAGCTACCTAACCACCAATAAACTCCCTTTAAAGGCTCTTCTCCTCATGGATAATGCTCCTGGTCATGAACCTGAACTTGCCAGAACTTTGGAGTATCAATTTGACTTTGTGAAAGTGTTGTTTTTGCCTCCCAACACTACATCAATCATACAGCCAATGGACCAGAATGTGATCAGCAACTTCAAGAAGTTGTACATGAAGAAAATGTTTAGGAGGTGTCATCAGGCAACTTCCAATGATCCTGAACTAACACTGAAACAGTTCTGGAAGACACAATTCAACATCCTGGAGGCTGTAAAATTGATTGTGTCATCATGGCAAGAAGTCTCCACTAGATCCCTCAATTCTTCATGGAAAGCACTGTGGCCATCAGTAGTCCATGATTTTGAGGAATTTCTGGATGACACAGAGTTGGACCAGGAGATTGTGTCCATTGGCCAGTCATTGGGCCTTGAAGTGGAAGAGGATGATGTCGAAGAGCTTGTGATGTCTTATGAGGAGGAAACTTACTCTTGAAGACTTGCAGCAACTGGATGAAATGTTAGAGGCTGACAGTGGTGAGGAGGAAAGGGAAAGTGATGACCATATGTCAACTTCACAGTTGAAAGATGTTATTTACTACTGGGAGAAGTTCAGGAAACTGGCTTCAAGGCGCCCAGATGTGGAAAAGTCTGAACTAACTTTGTGTCATGTTGAGGACACAATGGTCTCCTTCTTTAAACATAAGTTAATGATGAGGAGGAGAGATGCCCCACAGACCACAATTGACACTTTCTTCAGTAAAAGGCAGAGGGAACAAGATGCTAGCCCTCAGCCTTCCACTTAAAGAAGGAGAGTGGATGACCATGGTGGAGAATATGTCAGTCCAGAGGTTCCTGACATTTTCATGGAAGGTGACTCACCTTCCAAGAAGCAGTAAAATGCTTCTCCTCCACTTCCTTCTCTTCTCCCTTCTCCTCCTCCACCTCCCACTTCAAATTCACATCAGCATCATCACCCAGGAGCCTTCTACATACACACCTCAAGGTAAGTACAAACTGGACAATTTTGTAATTAAGAAGATTTGTAACCAGTTGAGAAGGTTGGGTCACCTTACCCACTGAACCCGACTACCGACCGTTGCGGTGCTTTTTAAAGATTAGTAGGGTCATTACCTAATACCTGACCATTGAGGACCTGATCTCACCCTCCTCTGTATGTATACACCTTGTTTTGTACTTCTCCTTAGTCAGTACTCACCCCTGAAGATGTGAATTACACGAAAGCGCTTGGGAACTTCGTGTTTTCTTCTTTCCTTGTGGTTATCAGCATATACCTGGACCACGCGCAACTACAGTGATTTACTTGCATATATATATATATATATATATATATATATATATATATATATATATATATATATATATATATATATATATATATATATATATATATATATATATATATTTCATGTAAATCCACAATGAAAACGTGGATAAGATAAATCTTGATAAAATCACACGGGAAAATGGAAACAACGGAGTACCTTAGCTTTCGTCTTTATTCAAGACATCTTCAGAGGCAACTGGATTACATGGACAGAGAGAGGCTTAAATATACAGGGTGACCTAAAAACATGAGGTCAGGTCATAATGATGACATCCACTAATCCCCACACCAACACACACGTAGAGGAGCTTAAGAGAAGGGTGGTGACGTGACTAGCCAGGTCAGGTCAGAAAAAAGGGACCCACAAAATAACTATCATACATCTAGATCAAAGGTTTTCAAAGCATTTTTAACCTTGGGCCACTGACAAATAAATTTATGTAACATATTATCAGTTTTGAACTGACCATCACTGATGTATGTTACATAAAATTTGTCGAAAAAAATTTTGATTGTATATATATATATATATATATATATATATATATATATATATATATATATATATATATATATATATATATATATATATATATATATATATATATATATATATATATATATATATATATATATATCATGGGAAAAATATCAACACAAATTAAATTAGAAGCTGTCATACGAAAAATTTAGGCAGATATACATATAATTTCAAAAGCATACTAAGGCAACAGAACACTACTGGAGCGACGATAACACATTTGACATTAACAAAGAAATGCCTCACAGCGTTAAGCTCATACTATCTCAAATTACTTCTACTTGTGAAAAATACACAACAAGAGGAGAAAATTACAGTTTTTGCTTTGTTTCTTTATAGACATACTGTATCCTCTTGCATTAAACGCTCTGAGTCTTAGGCTGTACAATTTATCTGGATAGCTAGTTTGTTTTCATCTTGGTGTTGCCACCTTGACTTCTGACTGAGAGTTGAATATGATCCGAGGTTCTTTGATGGGCTGCACTGACGAGTCAAGGCCTCTGTGTGTGTGTGTGTGTTGATGACGTGTGGCGTTGGAGTCGTATAGGGAGGCTGGGAAGGACAACGATATTCCTCTTGCAGAAGAGATTATTCTAGGCATGAGGTGCTCCTACACGCCCAGGGGAGCCCACTGTCCCACCATCTCCCACTGCCCGCCATCATTAGGGGAGAAGGGGGCAGCGGACATCTTGTACCCCTGTGCCCCTCCGTACTGGTAGTCTATCTCGCGTTTCTTCTTTTTCCTGGAAAAGGGAAAAATATTTTGTAGTTGAATTATTTTTAGCATATCCTAAATATCAGTTTTTCCCCTAAGTTCTGAATTTATTTCTTACTTAATTCCTTAATTGTAAATTTATTCTCGAGGAAGAAGACATGTGGTAACTGTAACTGATTCTGATTGATTAGAGGTTGTAAGTAATTTTTAAGTAATTGTAATTGCCTTCCAAGAATTCAACTGTAATTGTTATTCATTACAAACGTTTAAGGTGGCAATATAATTGAAACAATATTACAGTGAAAATGTAGAACCTCGTAAAGTGTATATTAACATTTTACTAAACCCTGTCTGCCAGGAGAGCGGGGTGTGGAAAAGCTCATTTTGTCACAGTTCCTTGGAATTAAGCCACAAACGGTGATAAATTATTGTTCACTGGCAGTTTGCACAAGGTCATCACAATTAACGCTCTCGTCACAAGGTCCACACACACACTTGTAGCTGGTCTACTTGAAGGGAGAAACGTGTTCAGACAGCGACACTACTCTGAGGTGAAGATGCTGTGGTCTTTCCTGGAAATCCCGTCTGAGAAGTTAGAATATACTGAAGAAGTTGTGTGAGGTCATTTTTAGGATGCCACTGAATATAATTATACTAGGTAGAACAAGGTCAGTCTCAGTTAAATTATGCCATGTGTCCTTGGCCTCAAAGCCCGGCTCTGTTTCATGAATTCTCACTTTAATGTTAAGCAGTTTTTGTTCTTGTTGCTGTTCGTGATCCCAGATTCAAGGTCTTCATATACAGCTGCCACTCACTCTCACAGAAGTAAATGTTACGATCCCATCAACTACTCGGGTTACTGATTCAAGCACTTACCAGCACCAGCCTGACAAGGCTCCCTCGTGTAAACTCTTCAGCTTTATGGACCCTACAACTGAACCGTTGCCCCAATCCTCCAGTGAGGAAGAGGAGGTCCAGTAATATCTAAGTGGCCTCTGTATACTCTTCATACTTCATACTGCCTCTTCTGGCCCACTGAGATGGCGCTCTCTTATTGGGGCAAAATTATCACTCTTGATCACACCAGAATCTCTGACACTACACTTGAAAGCTTCCTGACTATCAAAGTCAACAAAGTTATATGCAACCTACAGTAATTTGTGTGTAATATTTACACCATATAGACGAAAGTAAAATGCTTAGGCAGGGGTAATAATTTTCTTATTTCCTTTAATTTATTTTAAGTGTTGCTCTGAAATGTAACTGTTCTTGGAATCGTAATGAAACAAATGAGTGTTAAAGTAATTGTAACGCAATCAGTTATATTAATGATTACAGTGGAACCGTACATGGAAATCAATTGTAGTTACTCAATTACATTGCCATTGTAATTGCCTCATGCCTACTAATGTGTTCCTTCATTCCTTAAGGCTTGTATTTATCCCAGAGAGTTGTGCCTTTATTTCCTAAGGTGTGACTTTATTCCCTACAGCGTGAGTATTCGCTGAGGTCTGTCAGTGGCAAGATAAGAAAGTTGTGAAAGCAAAGAAAGATGAAATTATGAAGGTAAAAACAACATAATCGTAGTGAGTTACGTTGTATACTTACTTTCTGCCTTCATCTGCCTTCTCATTACTGCCCTCTTCACTACTCCCTTCCTCTTCACTCTCACCGGATTCTTTATGGTCCCTTTTCTTGTCCTTTTCCTCTTCTTTTTTCTCACCATTTTTCTTGCCCTTTTCTTCCCCCTTGTTTTTCTCTTTGTTGTTGTTTTTCTTTCCCTTTTCTTTCTCTTCTTCTTTGCTTTCGCCGGACTCCTCGGCATTCTCTTCACTCTTCTCTCCATTTAAATCCTTCTCTTCTCCCATTTTCTCCTTTCCTTCTTCGCCACTCTCTTTTCCTTCTTCGCCACTTTCTTTTCCTTCTTCGCTACTCTCTTTTCCATCTTCACTACTCTCTTTTCCTTCTTCGCCACTCTCTTTAGACTCGTCTTCTCCACTATCCGGCTTCTTTTCCTCTTCACTGCTTGCTCCACCGTCTTGTATTTCCTTAATTTTATCATCGGCTTTCTCGTCTCCTGGAGTCTTATTGTCTTCCATGCTATCATCACTCTTCTTGTTCTCCTCTTCCTCCTTCTTTTCGTCTTCCGTCTTCTTTTCGTCTTCAGGCTCTTCTACACCCACCTCTCTCTTCGCCAACCTCCCCTCTTTCTCCTCATCCCCTGCCATCACCATATCGTTGGAGACTGCTCGACGGTACCGGATACTTCCAGTGCCAGCCGGGTCCCAGTGACCTACATCGTATATCGGGGGTGGAGGTTTCCAGCTCTGTATTTTGGGAGAGATAGAGACAAAAGATGGAATTTATATCTTGATTTATTTATTTGTTTTATTTTATTATTATTTTTTTTTAGGTGCTGGCGTTGGGTGGGTTTAAAGGGTAAAGAAAGCTAAGTTAGGTTAGGTTTAGGTTAGAGACGGAATTTAAGGTAATTTTAGGTTGGTAGATATAAAGAAACAATAGAATTTTAGGGAATTGTATGTCTGGTGAAAATAGCATTTAGCCGCGACTATACTATATACCTGTACGTTTTTTGTGATTTAGACATGGAGATAAAATAGACGGAATGTTGAGTTTACTTTAGCTAGATATTTTAAATGTAAAGAAAATACAAAAACAATATTACCAAAACTATTATAATTATTACCTAACCTGACCTAAACTAACTTAACCTAACCTAACCTTGCCAGTCCTGTAGGGGCCAGGGTAGACCGGGTCCAAGTAGCTCTCTCCACTGTTCCAGTCGTAGCTAGGGAAGGCTACCACGGCAGCCGTCAGCGTCGCCGCTAGTAGCAACCTGTAACACACACACACTCGGCTTCAAAGGACCAGTCAGAATACACGTAAAGTAAAAATATAACTAGGTCTTAGGTACGAAGTGCCATTCATATTACAGAATAATAAATATCGTAACTCGTGAGTATGGGGGGCCAATCACGTTTTAAGACAATATAAACACCGTAACTCGCTGACCAAACGCAGTGAGTGAACAAAAACCTATCAGATGCACTCAGGTGAAGAAATAATAAGGCTGTGCTGGAGTTCCCCAAGTCTTAGGTCTTGCTCATAATCTCATCTCGTTACCTTCTCTCCATATCGTCCAGCAACAGACACACACACACACAAACACACACACAAACACACACACACACACACACACACAACCAAACTAACGTATGCGTCACCAGCCTGGTCGTCTTCTCTCAACTCCACCCAACAACGTCAGCTAGAGATGGTACAGAAAAGGGCCTGCAGAATCATACTCGGCGCAGAATACTCCGGCTACACCAACGCTCTCTCCACCCTGGAAATGCCATCCCTCAGTGACCTCCACCACCAAGCACTGGAAAGGTTTGGCCGTGGACTACTGCACCACCCTCGCCATCGCCACCTCCTGCCACCTGCAGCCCCCCACCCAACTCGCGCAGTCCGCCACTACAACAAAATTCAGCCCATAAGAGCCCGCACCGATAGATATAAGAACAGCACCATCCCATCTATTGTTAAAATAATAAACAACTCCTGATTTATGTACTGCACAGCCCTGTAAATGTATTCAATGCATATTATATCATTATGTCTAAATCTAATGTAAGTCTGTATATTTTCAGCCACTGGCTGCAACTCTATTAATAAACCGTTTATTATTATTATTATTATTACACACACACACACACACACACACTTCTCGGACGATCATACTAACCTGCATAGACACTTTATCCTACGACATTAATGTTTACACTTAGTTCAGTCTCTCAGTAGATCTTGAGTCCCTATGTGAGTGCGGGCTCTGATAACCTTGATATATTTAACGCCACCAATAACACAACAATTTCTGTTTTCACACTCAGGTGCTGGACCGTGAATCTTATTAACTGCGCTGGGAAGCTGACCGTCACCAGATTATATCATTAAGTATTAGAACAACCAAACTGATTAATGAACATGGATAAGTCATCACTGAATATTAGGATAATGGCCGATGACACAAAGCTTCATAAATAACTACAAAATACTAATAATATTGGGTAGTGGCGCTGGTAATTAATGGTTAATAGGACAGGGTAACTCTGGAACACTAACCTTAACATCATCTTGGATGATGCTGTGGGTTTGGGGTGAGTGATGGTTGGTGGTGGTCGTCGCTAGCTGGACTCTACTGGCTGTTATTGTGGTAAGGAAGGTGGATGCTAGTGGCACTTGTTGCCTCTGTGGTCGCTGCACCCCGAGTGGCTTCAGAAGGACGTCACTATTCCTTCTCTCCCTCTCTCTCTCTCACTTTCCCCTACAACCACACCCCCTTAATCCTTCCCATCCTTTTTAAACCCCACCACACGCCCCTCCTCCTCCTGACGTCACGCCCTTGTTCAAGATGGCGAAACAGCACAAAGGTAAATAATTATAACGAGCTGTGTTCCCCGTGTTATGGTGAAATGTTGTTGCTTATTCACGAGGTTCTCCTGAATGTTGACCAAACACGGATACACCAGAGAAGCGGAGTAAGGAAAGGGACTCGACGCTGTAGTCTCGTCGTTGATGAGTCTCATTTTGACTCACATGCGAGATTAGTAAGTGAGACTAGTAGGTTACCATAGTCTGTGTGAGATTAATAACTTGCGACAGTCTGTGTGAGATTGGGAAGTGGGGATTAGTAGCTTAGAAAAGTTTGTTTGAATAAGTTTGATAAGTGTGAACTATAACTTAGCAATTTCTGTATTGGTGAGTTCATTATTATTATTATTATTATTATTATGATTATGATGATGATGATGATACATAAGTTCCGCTCAGTGGTATTAACTTTTCGATAAGCAAAGCGAAGGCCTAGTGGCACTGTTACAGGCTGAGTGCCATCCCACCTGCCAATCAATCCTCCCAATCTCTTTTTTACTCCTTGGCATCCATCCATCACATCCTGGCACCTAGCTGATCAGCCCATCTAAAACCAGACAACCCGGAAACCCAACATGGTCTGGGAGTCACGTTTGGTTATTGTCGTAAGGGTATCTAATATAGGTCACGTAAGGTCCTTCTCTGAGGCGGTATTTTCTTCCTCATTTGCTGTTGCGTCGTATTTCTGGGAATCACTTGGTGGGAGTGTGTGACGGAGATGATTACTAATGACTTGATATTGCCTCTATTCATTCTCTATTTATCTGTTTGTTTTCATATGTACGCTCGTCTCTATATCGACCACCCAGTCACCCCCAACACTCACACACACACACACACACACATACAAAGAGAAGTAATCATAAACTTATCTGAAAGAAATCTCATTTACTCTCCTTGTGTCATACGCATTGGCTTTCAAATCATATAAATTAATCACGAATTTTCCGAATAACTCAAAAATAGAACTTACAAAAATAAACAAATTTAACATCTTTCCCTCGACCTAACCATTGGAGGAAATAGCTTTGATAGTGATATCAACAGATGAAAAGTTACATTTTCAGTGAGGGTCATTCCATGGAACATAAATATATTGGTTGTGGTAGTCAGTATTCAGTTAATGTTTCACGTTGGCGGATATATATGATGGACATTAATCAATATATATATATATATATATATATATATATATATATATATATATATATATATATATATATATATATATATATATATATATATATATATATATAAGTTTTGAAAAAGTTTAAAAATACAGGTGATATACAATAAAAACATAATATTATGGGAAAATTTACCTTCGATAAACTTCAAAAATTTAAAAATAGTTTTAGCTAAGACAAGTGAATGATGGTTTGCCATACGCTGTACTGAGAAGTATTCCACCAAGTGTAGAAAAGAGAGCAAAGAATTTACACCTACTTCACACGTGAAGTTAATATTTTCATTTTCTATTATTTCTCTCATTTTACTAAGTTTTAGGTCAGCCTCTACTAACAGAGATGGATGAATATTTTGGACACATGGGTGCTGTTTATTTTCACATACTTATTAAGGCAGCTAATAGCCGCTCTTGTTTACATCTTACTGTATTTAATATATAAAGCTCAAATACATTTTCTCAGGAGAAAACTACATCCAGTGAATATGTTTACGTGCCTGTTCGCGTCAATACGGATTTAATGACGTCAGATATACCTTGAGCTGCCTTGCTTCCACGAACGATAATGTAAACATAAAATACTTTATTCAGAGTTGTATTAGATATGGAGAGAATGTTATATAAATCATTAGAGGTTGTTGCTTAGGCTAGTGGTTTTGGACACACGCATACACACACACACACACACACACACACACACACACACACAACACGCACACACACACACACACGTATGCGTGTGTGTGTAATTAAACATTTCACGGAATGACTGAATTTTTTAGTCAAATTGCGAAAAGAATATTTCAATCGAGTTATGTTAGGACCTAACCTAACCTAATATAATCTAACAAACGTAACGTAACGTAATATGCAGTGACATTACGTTAGTTAGGTTAGATTTAAAATGGGAATAGGTCAGGTTAAGACCTAACCTAACCCGATTGAATCCTTCATTTCGCCATTTGACGAAAAAATATTCATTCATTTCCTTTTCACGGACGGTTCTCTCTCTCTCTTAACCCCCGATGTTTTTCTCTTCTTCCTTCTCCTTCCTTCTACTAAACCACTTCTGAGAACTACGGAACAGGTAACAGCCAGTTGTGTACAATAATGGAATAACTACGTATAAGGTTATCAAGGTTTAGAGGCAATGACTCAGAAGCGGTAACTATTGTTATGGTGAAACATCTGTTGATGACGAATGTCGCGTTGGAAAGGGGGTGGGGGGGGGCAGTGATGTGTTAGTCTCCACGTTGGCACACCCTCCACACTGGCATCCCGTCTACATTGGCACACCCTTCACGTTGGCAGACTCCTTAATGTTTGGTACTATACCATATTGGGACTTCCTCCATATTGACACTATACAACGTTGGCACATCTTCCACCCTGGCATCTCGTCTACCTTAACACTGTCATCCATTTTGGCATTCCACTATGATGGCACTCCCTCCCTATTACAAAATATCCTTTGTCACCATAACCCAGTAAGTGTCAGGTATAAAAACTGCCACCAACACGACAACTAAACTCATAATTACCGAACTTTGTAACCCCGTTTCAAGCTCAGGAACACCGGACAACATGCCAACCACACTGGCTAATCATGAATCCCATGAGGCGAATTTTTTTTTTTTTTTAGTTTGAAAATTTCGGCCCATGGTATTAATGATGTAGTTCTACGCAACTGGCGTGATATCTTCAGATTTGAAAAGTTTTTATTTTTGCTAGGTACCTAACTCTGAAATCTTATAAATTATATTCCCACCCTTTTACCAACACCACTAAATAGCTTATTTAAAGTAAAGTAAATGTATCAGGTTAATTTATTAGGATAAATGATCCACAGAATAGTGAAACGAATGATCTTGACACATTTATTAAATTTAATATTCCTTAAAAAACAAAATCATCAAATACAAAAACCGGTTTACTATCATTCCGGTGTTGCTGCACAATTACAGAGAACATGTCTTTTCTTGCTTCTGTTTTTACTCATCACCTCCCCTGCAAGGACCACACCTGAGCTCGGATGTAGCCTTCCCTCCTCTCCTGCCAGATGCGATCAAGCGCTGGCCCTGCCACTGCTGCACAATAAACGCTCTATACCTGGGTGTGCGAGGCCGGTGCAGGACATGCATGGGGTTGTCCAGGAAAGCTCTGACTTGAACATTGGTGAGGCTGCAGGTGAGGCTCACTGCCAAATGCTGGATGTTATCCAGATCTATGAGATCAGTGAGGGTTCGGCACCTAGATTGACTCTAGGAGTCTTCTGACCCTGAAGGAATCGTCACCAACTGATTTCCGTCATGCCCAGATCCTCCTGGCAAGTCTCATATCCAAGATCTTTGACTGCTAATTTTTCTCTCTCATCCTTACTGCAGAGCATTGTCTGCAGAACTGCCTCGGGATGAGCATACCAGAAGATCTCCCTCACAGTCTGCCTCCACAATCTGAATAACCTTCTTGGCTGATTCCTCAGAGCTCAAGCTGAAGAGAACATGCCTGACCTTCGAACGATGACTTGACCTTGGTGTTGAAACCAATTTGTCGGCAGACACTCACGATGAATTGGACAATAAGTCTCAGGTTGTGAAGCTGGTTCCCTTTCAGTTTATATGAGCGACCCAAATTCTGCAGAACTCGAGAGCCGTTGTGAGCCACTCAGAATGTGAGACTGGACCTATCTGCAGGTAAGCAAGTCTATCAGGCATGACCCCAGTTTTGATGGCACTGCAAATCATGTAACCATAGTACTGGCTGGGGCACTCAGGCTGTCACAGCAGTGCGCTCAACGAGTGGAGGGCCAACTGTGATTTTTTCAAAGCTCGGATTTATTTCTAACTCAGTGGCAGAGTCCAGCATCTGCCAAGAGGACCAGACCATCTGTTGTTTGAAAGAGTCTTGCCATCCAGCTCCTGGATCAGATGTCTGAGTGGCAACTCGTTGGTGTGTGGAGGTCACAAACAATCCAGACCAGCTTCCCTCCCACCTTCCAGTCATTCCACTGTATGACCCCCCCTTGCCACCCTGTGTTCGTGTTGGTGCTGTCCCCTCCAATGGCCTGCAGGATCTGGTCTACGTTCCTCTCTCTGAGCCAGTCTCACAATGTTATCTGCCACTATCTCAGCTGGTTTCCTGATGCTTCTGGAGGAATGCCACAAATACTCCCTCCTGGTTCACTGCAGCAGGAGTAGTGTTCTCCTTCACCATGGCAGGAACAACTTGCCAGAATCTCCAACTTTCTTATGAACACTTTATGTCATCCCTTCTCCCATCAAAGAACAAAACAATTGATTCCATTTTCTTATCCCCTTATCAAACCTCTTCAGGTTACCGACAAAGTTTCCTCCTGAGCTCTCTTACTTTGTTATGATCTATCACCAGGTGAACATCATCAGATGTTATCAAACCACCGTCAACCCCAGGCAGCTGTTGCTATCTCTGCAGTTTCTCTGAGACCAGTGTGGTGTCGCATGGGCCAGAGCTATGCTCGGGACAGCCTTCCTATTTCTGGAATCTTATGCCTGGAAGTTTTGGGGATTCTCTATTATTTTCGGGTTAGGGACAAAGTCACCATTCTCCTGGTCAGCACCTTCGGATCAGCCATGGGGAAGTCATTAAACTCTGAATCAGCTTGACTCCAATCATCGGCCTTTTTACCTCACCCTGGGCCTTCTCAAGTCTTTTCCTCGGCAACTTTTCTCCTCTTCTGTTTCTCTGTGGCAGCCTCCTGTCTCTTGGACCCGGAATATCTTGGCTAGAAATCATGAGAGCCCCTATACTGCCAGTCTTCTCTGTGCTTTGACAAATGCCAGTTCGATCACAGGAATCTTCAGTTCACGCTTGGTAAATACAGGAGATGTGGGCCTCGATTTACAGTCAATGATCGCATCCAAACCTGTGACAGAGAACAATTGGGCACTTGCAAGTAATTATGTCAAATAACTGGTCCAGCGTTTGGCAAAGCTGTCCTTAACTGCAAAAAGCCTTTTTCCTCTCCCAAGAGATATCTCTTGCCTTTTCCCCAACTGCTAGTTAGCCCTCACTAATCTTCTGACTTGTTATGACTGGAGGCTTGAACTGAGCAAGTTGTTAGATAAACACAAGACAGCTTCTTGGTCATATCAATTGGCAATGTCTTTGTTAGTGTAAGTTCTTGGTTCTTTTTTCACTGATTCTTACCTGATTAAAACACTGTATCTCAAAGCATTCCTCAATGTAGGCACCTGACTTCAGGAGCTCTCTCTCCCAGACCCAAGATAGTGACTGAGATGGCTGATTTTTGGTTCTCGTCCTGACACAAGCAGCCATCGCAAATATTATCAACTTATAAATGCATCAGAATCTGAAACAGAAAAAAATATTGTTAGTTACAGTTAAAGAATGAAGTCAAGCAATGTTCATTATTTAATTGTAATGCACTAATGCAGCTAAATGTTATTTCGATAAATTTCACGCTAAAATTTACCTAGCAAAAGGTTGCAAAATATTGAAACTGAAATTATTTTCTGTTTATATACACTAAATTCTACCAAAAAAGTGATGGGCCATATTTAGCTGATCTTACCTCCTATGACACACCCATTCCCATAACTCGCTCTTCTAATCAATTAGAATCCACATCTCAATCACTGTTAAGTAGGCATAAACTAATTGATCATTAAGAAGGCAGTGCCAGTTTTGTTGATGCTCGGATTGTTGTAGACGTTTCTTATATTTAAAACACCCTGTCCTAAGATTTATAATACAGATTAATAACAATTGATAATATTAACAATCATCACAATGATGATGATAATAACGATAACGATATAATAATAATAATAATAATAATAATAATAATAATAATAATAATTATAAAAATATATAATCTTAAATTACATAATCTAACAACTCTCAGGTGCAGTCTGAACTAGTTAACATGACATCATCTTTAAATAAAAATAATAATCAATGTTGTCCTGAGAGTTTGGGAAATATTTATCCAGTTAACTTAAGGACGCTGAGATTGCACTGGGCATTTCTCCCCCGAACTGCGTATATCAACATTAATTAAGTAATGACTGACAGATTCCAATTCAGGTAAGGTGATGTATTTAAAGGGTTTATATTGATCGTTCTGGGTATTACCTTAGTTATGATTGACACTTAACTGACGGGGATATTTTACTGTAATAATCGAAAGATGTATTTTTATATGCAAGAAAATATGCTTATTGTAGTATATATGTATGAATATATATTGATTACACGTGTTTATTTATTGATGTGTAAGTTTTATTGGATAAGAAGAGGGATATGTTTAGTGTAGTGAGTACACACACACACACACATACACCACGCTATGATCACATGGGTTTTGGCACATGCACAGCTCATTCGTGCAGAGTCCGGCTCGCAAATGTTCAACTGCTGCAACACAACACCTGCGTTCCCCTTCTCTCTTTCCATTCCCCCAACACACACACACCAGTCCGTTTGTCTGTCCGTCCGTCTGTACGTCCGTCCGTCTTGGAGCTGTTCACACGATAAATCGAACGAAAAACAAATACCCAAAAAAAAAACAGTAGATTTTTTACCATGATATAAAACCTGTATAAAATGTATATTTTGAAGATGCTGACGATTGTTTTTAGTGAGTGTTATCTTGCGCCAGCCTCTCGACTCAAGTCAGGTTTTCCTAAGTTTAATATTAATGTTTATCCTGTGTATGTGTGTCAGCCGTATTCAAATAAGTTCTGACGATGCTGACGTTGCTTTTTGTTATTTTTCTCCCCCAGGTGTCAGCAGTACGACCGCAGCTGGAGGGCCTCCTAACACGGACTTGGGTTTCCTGGTCCGTAACCTGACGGAGATTGCTCGTACGGTCGCCTCCAACACTTGGGTCTCCACCAATATCAACTCCCTCAACGCCTCAATCACCACCAGTACGGTCAGTTGCTTACAGGGGCAGGGCGTGTAGGTCCCTGTATTTACGCTTGGTATATACCGACAATACCAGGATATTACTTTTTATTATATTTTTTCTTTCATTATTATTATTTTTATTATTATTTTTTATTATTATTATTATTATTATTATTATTATTATTATTACTATTATCATTATTATTATTATTATTATTATTATTATTATTATTATTATTATTATTATTATTATTATTATTATTATTATTATTATTATTATTATTATTATTATTATTATTATTATTATTATTATTATTATTATTGTTTTTGTTATTGTTAT